CACATCGACTACTTAGCGTAACTGCTATTCGCGACGCAGATTAGAAGGCCTCAGCTACGCACGGCAACGAAATACAGTGGCCAACGACGGCGCTCCATACTCATAACTCATAATACATACTGCAGTCTTCCAAGGTCATTTTCGGCACGCACAGTTTCCAGGTTCAATTAAGGTGAACCGGCCTCAGCACTGAACTGTACATCGCGCAAGGTCATTTTCGGCGCGCACAGTTTCCAGGTTCAATTAAGGTGAACCGGCCTCAGCACTGAACTAGCCGTACATCGCGCCTTATCGCTTTGGCCCTTTTTTGTTTTCCACAGTTTACGCGCATCTATCATGTGATACGAAAGTCTGTTCGGTTTGCCTCCACAAGCTCCGTTGTTGTCCGCTACGCCTGGGTTTTATTGTTCCAATAATGTCCGAGTTGGTGTGATCTCTACGAGTTGAAACCAGCATATCAAGGAAGTCTTTGGCAGCCACAAGGTTTTTTGACGCTTACGCTTGAATTTATTGTTTATCCCCGGCCTTTTATTGAGCTTGTCCGTAAATTCTGGTATTTAAGCAGTGCAGCACTCATACTACTCTCCAGTTTTGCTTAAATGTCCTGCTTCGTTGTCTGTGTCCTTTAGCTCATTAAAGATATTTCAATTTGAACGTCAAAACTGTTCAACCATTTTAGTACCTGGTAAAAGATTATGCATTCAAGGGCCAGCTTCTAGTTTGATGAAACCAAGCTGGGCTTTCGCCAAAATATCACCTGCTTAGGGACGCATTTGGGACCCTGTTCACAAAAGGCTATAAATTTTCTTTGAGACCCCTCGGGCGCAGAGCGGTGATGACCACACAGTGGTAAAAAGAGTGAAATTTATTGACTGGGGTGATTTTTTTCCGTTCAGACACTCCCTGAGGCGTCAGGACTTCTAGTACTCGTGAACTTTTTGCTGCATGGGGAGTCCATGTTATGGTAATCTAAAAGCGGTCATACTGCACCCAGGTATTGGCCGGACAACCGTAGAATTAATCCAGTTGAAGGCGTCTCTTACTCATATTAGACAATTCGGTTACGAGATTGCTATTCCGGATTGACAATTTTCAGTTGCTCAGTTATGTGCTGTCTTGCGTAGGATATGACAGTTTCCGTTTTATGTTCGTCATTATATACCCCATTATCCCAGCATTTTCCACTGCCCCGTGTCACATC